ACTTTTCTGTTTTTTTTTTCCTTACAATAGTGTAAATGGCTGTCTTTGTTGAAGGTAGCAGGAAAAACGTTCCTCTGTTTGTTGCCATTGCTGATGAGCCTAAAATGGCAAGTTTTCATTTGTAATTTTCTTTCAAAAACTCCCATCGCCAAATCAATCTTTATTCGATAGGTTTTTGTTATTGATTGCTTTACTGAAAAATATTCTTGATAAAGCTGTAGTTTTGCTTTCCAATACAGTTTTTTAATTGATTTAGGTTTATTTACAACACTATTCTTTAATTTCAGAAACTTACTTACAGCTCATTACTTGTAATCAAGGAAAGTTGTTAAGTGTCAAAAAGCAATTACTTTTTTTATCGAATGAGCTAGTCAGTATAAGGGTCTTTAGTAACTCACAAGGACATAGCTTCTCAAGCCTAGTTCAAACAAGCGATGCAAATACAAACGCAAACACAACTGCAAATGGAATGGGTTGTGTCAAATTTTGTAAATTAATAATGATTTCACCACAACTAATTTCTGTTGATAGTTTGGGGCAAATACCAACTCCGCACACCATATAGGACAAAGTGGGACACTCGAGAGACAACTGGGACTGTAATGCAATACGTGACCTTATTCCCCACGGGAATGACCCAGGCATATTGAGGCCTTTTACCAAACAGTCCTTGTTGAAACTGACAGGAGACTTGATTTTGGACAAATCAATTGGCTATGTTTTATTGATTTCTCCAGTCATGACGGAGTAGAGTGACTGGGCAGCGTGGCTCACCATTACAGTTGTGTTGTCAATTGAGGCCTATATCTTTGGTTAAGTTTCTGAGCCAATATCCAGGCAGTTTGAATTCACCTGCTGCCAGTGATTTTTAAGAAGCTTGACTGATCCAGTTGTGTGAATCATGCGTAAAATTTCTCTAACTTTCTTTTCTTCGTTAAATTCGCCGGAAGCTTGAGATAATGGAGATAATAATTCTATTGTCGCGAGTGCAGAAAAAGGTTGACGATCAAAAACGAAAAGTTCAGCACAGCATTTCTATACCCTGTGTAGCATTTTACAGCACCAAGGCTAGAAGAGCTGATCGAATCAGTGATACGAAACCAGGTTTAATAAAATCAACAGACAAATCAATTGGCTCTTTACAGTCGTGGCCTAGAATTCGAATTCGGGTTTACCGGGTCGCAAGTGTAGCACTTTAATTGCTTTATCTTTTTGCTTATCCCTATTTCATCAAAATTTTATAAATAGATACCTACAAGCTTTTGATTTTCATCACTAGTTCCCATGCTGCGTCCCCCTTTCATCTTACAGCTCGTATTTCACGTAATTTTACCCGTTTTTACCTCGTATACACCACCTCGGATTGACCTGTGATAAGAGGACACGACTCAATTCGATTTCACGTTTTATTATGGACATATACAAATGATTTCTTTTTAATTAATGCGCCACATGCTTAAAGGATACTAGAACCGGTTAATCTAGTGAAGCTAATTGGTCGATCTTTGTATCCAAATAGACCTGAGAAAATGGAATTTTATTGACGGAAGTAGTTCAAACCATGAAGAGGGAAGCATTTGATTGATTATTTCCTCGTCTTTCAACTGCATAATCATGGCTCTGCAGGATGTCACGAGAAGACTTTTCATGTTGACTAAGAAAATTATAGGTCGGTGATCCGCCCTGTCGTTGAACTCTTTACAGAGAATTTTGGCCATCAGTTTAAGGTGGTACAATGATGAATGACAATAAAAGGAAACAAAGGAAGAAAGTGTAGCTGAATTTCTCCCACAAATCTCTGTAATTCTCTCAGTCAGACTCCTTACCTACGCGACAGAAGAAAATTCAATTGCTAAGAGCACTAAAGATGCTACTTTGTTTGGCGGAATACTTTTCAAAATTATATTAAAGTTCACACGGCAACCAGGTGGACAATCAGACATAGTTTGAAGCTACACTGGTTTGCAGATTTAATGAAATCAATGTAACTGAAGAAGTTACAATTCATAGACCTAACGTTTCGACACTCCTGTCTAGTGCCTTCATCAGGGGTGATCTAAACGCTGCAACAAGAGGTCCTTTTATATGATCACTAATTAGCGGCCTTTTTTCTGACGAGGTGTAAATAGGCGTCAGGAAGCAGACCGCCATCGTCACGATTTAAAGGAGCGTGGGCGGAGTTAATGTGCCAAGCCTCCAAACAAAGGCGCTGGTGGTAACGCCGATTAGTAGTGATAATTTTAGAATTATCCCACCCAATTGTATGGTTGGTTAGGCAAGTATGCTCCGATAAAGCTGAATTTTCCTTTTTGCAAAGAAAGACCGCTTTTTGGTGCTCCTTTAACCGTGTACCAAACTGGCGTTTGGTCTGTCCGATGTATTCGTTATCACAGTCATTGCAAGGAATAGAATAAATGGCGTCGGTTCGTTGTTCTTTCGTGACAGGATCCTTAGGTTTGGCGAAAATATGCCCCAAAGTCTGAAAAGGTTTTTGAGCAACTTTAACGTTGTGGCTATTCAAAATTCTCTTGATGGGTTCAGTAACACCCTGTATGTAAGGAATAACAGCAAAACCAGTCGCTGGTTCCCTTTCATCAAGAGCGTTACTATTTGTAACTGGTTTTTGGCAGTTACGGAGAAAAGTTTTTGTATAGCCATTTGCCTTTAGGACATTGGAAACATATTTCCTCTCCTCAGCCTTCGAATCGAGTGATGATGGTAGACAATCAGCCCTCCTAAGTAAAGTTTTGGCTACAGACTTTTTATGGCAAATAGGATGGTGAGAATCGAAAGCGAGGTATTTGTCGGTGTGGGTGGGTTTACGATAGACACTTGTCTCTAAATTACCCTGAACCCCTCTAGACACATTTAAATCAAGAAAGGGCAAATGTCTATCCTTTTCACGTTCAAGGGTGAATTGGATCGACGGCTCTACTGAATTCAAATGCGACAAGAGGCGCTCCGCTTCATTTCCGGATACCGCAGAAATAACATCATCGACATATCGTTTCCAGAAAAAGGGTTTAACCGGTGAAGTAGCTAAGGCCCTTTGTTCCACGTCTTCCATTACCATGTTAGCAATGACAGCAGAAACAGGCGAACCCATAGCTGTACCAAAAACTTGTTGATAGTATGTGCCGTTATATGTAAATTGCGTGGTTTTGAGGCAAAAAGACAGCAGATGAATAATATCCTCCACAGGCAAAGAAGTTCTTTGTCCTAGGGAAGCATCTTCTCTGAGTCTTTCCTCCGCAACCTTAACGGCAAGATCAACTGGGATTTTAGTGAAGAGCGAAACAACGTCGAAAGATACTAGTTCTTCACAAGCGTCAAGAGTTTTATCTCTTATGAAATCCGTAAATTCGCAGGAATCTCACCATCCTATTTGCCATAAAAAGTCTGTAGCCAAAACTTTACTTAGGAGGGCTGATTGTCTACCATCATCACTCGATTCGAAGGCTGAGGAGAGGAAATATGTTTCCAATGTCCTAAAGGCAAATGGCTATACAAAAACTTTTCTCCGTAACTGCCAAAAACCAGTTACAAATAGTAACGCTCTTGATGAAAGGGAACCAGCGACTGGTTTTGCTGTTATTCCTTACATACAGGGTGTTACTGAACCCATCAAGAGAATTTTGAATAGCCACAACGTTAAAGTTGCTCAAAAACCTTTTCAGACTTTGGGGCATATTTTCGCCAAACCTAAGGATCCTGTCACGAAAGAACAACGAACCGACGCCATTTATTCTATTCCTTGCAATGACTGTGATAACGAATACATCGGACAGACCAAACGCCAGTTTGGTACACGGTTAAAGGAGCACCAAAAAGCGGTCTTTCTTTGCAAAAAGGAAAATTCAGCTTTATCGGAGCATACTTGCCTAACCAACCATACAATTGGGTGGGGTAATTCTAAAATTATCACTACTAATCGGCGTTACCACCAGCGCCTTTGTTTGGAGGCTTGGCACATTAACTCCGCCCACGCTCCTTTAAATCGTGACGATGGCGGTCTGCTTCCTGACGCCTATTTACACCTCGTCAGAAAAAAGGCCGCTAATTAGTGATCATATAAAAGGACCTCTTGTTGCAGCGTTTAGATCACCCCTGATGAAGGCACTAGACAGGAGTGTCGAAACGTTAGGTCTATGAATTGTAACTTCTTCGGTTACATTCATTAAATCTGCAAACCAGTGTAGCTTCAAACTATGTCTTTTCAAAATTAGTTGTCGCTTCTTTACAGGAGGTATATCTGTTTCATCATAAGGCGCAAGCCTGCTCAGAATCATCGTGGAACTCTTCAAGGCCATAAGAGCCTTCTCTCGAATGTTGAAGAAATGAAAATGTAAAATAAGAAGATAAACGCTCTTGAAGATGGAAACAGCAGGCTCAATTGAGTGGAGTGATGGTAACGCTGATTAGCTTTGTCATACTTTTACAGTGCCACAATCCTTTTTTACTGCAGCTCTTGTTTGCGTGGTAATGGTGAACATAAGCGATAGCGACAGGGAACTGAATGGGTAGAGATTCTCTTTTTTGACTCCTCGATTTGATGGCTTAAAGACATAAAGGGTGCCTTTCGCCTTTTTCCTAAATTAGAAGAATTATTGATGACTTGTCCAGTTTTGTTTGATTAGGCAACTGGGGAGACTCGACACGAGGACCTCGGACTAGCCCTATGAGGTTTTAAATGTCAAGAATGATACATATATGTAAACACATCTTGCGCACCATAAAATGTGCATGTGCCCCGTATATTTAACATATAGTTTTATTACAATTAACTAACAAAGTGACCTTTTGATCAGCTGTTTTCACCGTGTTACATTCGTTTTGACATCAAAAAATTTTTTCACAAACTTTATGTACCTGAAACACCCTAGGTAACTCTCAATTGTTACAGCTACCTAGTATGAGAAAACCATCAATACTTTCTAACGTTGCAGCAATACATACTAAACTTCACTGCTCATCTTTTGCTCTACCTTTAGCTGTTACAGTTACTGAATGTAGATTTTGCAAATAGCTTGAAAAATTTTTGTAGAATATCGTGGTGGTGAATTATTGTTACTACTAATGATGATATCACCACAACTCGTTTTAGGTCGTTTACTCAAGCCGATACCAACACCACGCACCAAATATGGCAATTCTGGGCACGTAGAAGGTCGCTTAGTGGACTGAATTCCAATACGTGTCTCGATCACCCATGGGGAGGACCTTTGCATGTTGAGGCCTCTTACCAAACAATTTTTGTTGATACCTGGTGGAGTCGTGATGGTGGACGCACTCACTGGCCATGTCTTCGTAAAACTCTCATTCATTACAGAGTAAAGAGACTGCGCAGTGTAGTTTACCACCATAGTTGAATATTTGGTTGAGGCGTTTGCCCCAAAGGTCATGGCGACACATATTCTGGTGAAATTTCTGAGCCAATATCCAGGAAGTTTTAGGTCACCTTCCTCCTCTACTGATCCATATCGAGCTTGAGTGGTCCAGACAGGTGAGTCATAGTAGGAAAGATTCTAAGAGGTGAGAAAATTTTTTTGTTAATCACCATTTTAGCACAACAACTCAAAACTACTTGTCAAATGATAGTGTGTTACATTTTATAAGTTCACTACCACTAGTGTCACTAGTGACACGTTTTTGTTGGTGTTTTCGTTTTCTTGTTGTTGCTGTTGTTGTTTTATTTCGTAGGGCTGTAAGGGAGATTGCAATCACTGAGAGAATTTATAATAAAGTTTGGAAAAAACGAACATAGAGCAAGAGAGCTAAAGCTGTCACGCCAACTGCCAAATTGTACCTTGTCCGACCGGACTTCTCTCTGGCTTTTTTTCGTATATTGAGAGGGAAATTTCGGAATAAGCGGGTCGGCCAAGAGCAACAGAAAAACCAAACAAAGTTTTTTAAACATTTCAAGCGCCGTAATTGACGTTAGCAACGTAAGCAGAGACGAAAATCCTCAAACAGAAAACGAAATGGACAGTCCGAGTTTTGAAGTTTTTTACAATTAGCTGGATTGCAAGCTTACCTGCAGTAATAAAAATCAAACATAGCTAACACTCGTGTGATATATATAGTTTGTGTTCAAGAACAAAACAGAAAAAAACAAGAATGATGAAAAGTATAGCCAAACTGGCATAACTGTTAAAAATTCATACTAATCATAGCGGTGTCAGAGTGAATGCGATCATGCTGAAGTCCATCGCGGCCAGCCCATCATGACATATCCGGTCATCACAATGAAGCAAGCATCAGAATTTTTAATCGGCCGCCCTTCGAGTGAACTACTACGACAACTAAGAGCTCTGATATCCTTTCCGATGCTTTGAGTGGAAGACCACATCAGGCACAGCAGCCGAGTGAATTGGGTTGTCGTTCATTCATGAAACATACGCCTTGAGCAGTTTGTTTTCTAATTATCATATGATAAAACTCGCGTTTTTTCATGAGCTTCAATGCGGCCGGATTATTCTGAACATTTCAATTTTAGATTCTGTATAAGAGACTAAACAACTTCAAGCAAGTGTTTAATTCGACCTGTCGAACTATTTCAGTTTGTTAACTACTGCAGAATGTGAATTCTGATTTTACAAGGATTGTGACTGGCTTATTGTAACGTGCCCTACGAGAGTGTAGAACACGCTGACGACACTGCTGTTCGCTTTAAAAATAAAGTTTGTTTTGAAAATTGAAAGTAACGCGTAGGGAATTTAACGGATTCTTTGTTATGAAACAAATAGAGAAGCCACTCAAGAAGTGGGGAAAAACACTCGACTACGTCTCGTGTCTCTTCCTACACTTCTTTCTTTCGTGCTCTAGTCGCCTCCTGCGTGTTTTACAACAGAACAGAGCACATTAAAGGCTTCTCTATTTTTGAATTATTAATTCTTGTAAAAAAACTTCTTTTCTTTTATTGTTTGGCGCTCTATCAAAACTAAGTTAGAGGTGAGAAAAAATTGTACAACTTCTCTGGAATCTAATCGTCAGAGGTTACGTAATTTTCAAACTTCTTCACGATATTAGGAACACTTTCTCAAGGAAAGTTCACTGTACAAGAAACTTTGCAGGCGTAAAGAAAATGCGACTAGCAGGTGGCATTTAAGTCATATTTTAAAGCGTGGACTAGAACTAAAATTCGGAACTTCTGTTTCGTAAGTCGAGTTTCTAACCTCCTGGCCTCATTGGTTATTGCTATTTCTTCAAAACAAATGCAAGCAAATACCTTTCCATTACTAACTTTCATTACCAGTTCCCATACTCCATCCCCACATTTAGAAAAGCCTCTACATCTTGTTTTCCACGTGATGTTACCGATATTGATCTTGTAGATGCCATTCCGGCTTGAGCTGTGATTACAGAAAATGAATTTAAGATGTGACCCGTTTTTCCAATGTAAATTTTAGTGAGTTAAGTGGAAAGTTGAGCAGTAGTAGTATTAGTAATTATTTACCCAGTGAGTATGTTCGATGATCCTTGTATTAAAAAAACTCGATGAAGTGGATTTGATGTGCCGAGGGTCGGTTATCGCGGGAAACCGAAGTGATAAAATAGGGCCTAACTTTGTGTTTGTTCACTTTAATACCTCTATTCTGTACTTTCAGTGGAAACTTCATATCCTTGAACTGCGTACCTATGTCTCCTAAATATGTCGCGACAAGACTTCCCTGCGGTGTAGTTTCGACCTTTCAAGAAAACAGAGAAAATGACAGGTTAGTGATTATTTTTTTTCCTTAGTATAACTCATCTACATATTACGTTGTATTACACAATAGATTTTAGGAAGGATTTCAGTAGAGAAGAAGATGAATACGAGACAGTTCACTTCAATTTTAATTACAAGGAAGTGTAGACGAAATTCTTGAGCAAATTTTTATAATTTGTCTTTTCAATATTTCTGAACCTCAGTTGTGCAGAGACGAATAATTATTTGAGAACTTTTTTCGTTCGCTCTAAGCCATGACGCTTGATTTCAACGCACTTGATTGTGTTCGTCCCGCAAATATCTCCATAGTGTTTTCCTTTGAGAGAGAAGGGGAATTAGTGGATAAGGTAACAGGACAGGGTTTGCTTATTAGGATAGCAGACTAACATGCTTAATTCTGCCTTAGTATTTTAAAAATTATTTTATTCGTCTTGGCACATTGTGTATTATTACCCTACATACCTTCCACGCTACTATTGTTAGTAAAGGAGGTACTGGATGACCCTTGGCCTTTGTTCGTCAATATTACGATCTGCAAGTACGTAAGGAGTGGTTATTAGTTATTGCCTGGAGACGGCGATGTCATGATAATTCCTGCCCTCCCCCCTGGTTCGTAGTTCCCCCTAATACCGTTGCTTGTCTTCGTTTGATATTTATCGCAGTCTAGTCAATACTGCCTCGTGCAGTCTGAACAACGACTTATTTTAGAAGCACTTGAAAGTTTCTTTTTTTCAATGTGTTTTCAACTGGAAAACTTCATTTTACAGAAGGAACCTGTTATCTTGTCATACGAGCCTCTAATTTCCGTTTTTTTTACGACTTATCTCAAAGTATACTTTCGAAATTAAATTACTTTTTTTTTGTGGCAAAAGTCATCGATGTGTTTGTATAAGTTTGTGCACAAGTTGTTAATGAAATACACATTATTTTATTCTTTTGTCATAGGAAGTTGTCTAAACAAAGTGAAAGTTTCTCCTCATTTGCTGCCGTCTATAATTCAACAGACGAAGTAATTAGCATCAATTGTTTTCCACTACTGTTTAATGTGCCTGAAACTCATTGCTATTTCCCACAGAATCAAAACTCAGCACCATTCAAGTTCGAGAGAGATATGTAGCTTAAAATTCTCAAAGAAACGAAAGACTTTTCTCACGAAAATACATTCATTTTAAGTGAGGAAAGTTGAAAATAGAAAAATTTATGTTCAAAAAATTTCTTACTTTTCTCATCGTCCAAATTCTTGACTTTTCCTCCTTTTCGTCCACGTCAGAAGCTCTGGAACATTTTCCCTACTTTTGATACAAGGAGCATTTCTTCAAGGCGTTGTGAAATATGGCTCCTTCACAGGTGTCATCTCTGCTACAACGCAAGGCGCAAGCCAGCTCAGTACCGGCGTGGAACTCTCCAATGCTATGAAATCCTTCCCGAGGATGTTTTTGGAATGAAAATATGAAATAAGAACTGAAAAGCTCCTGAAGATGTGAACAGTAGGCACAACTGAGCAGAATAACGGAAATGCTGATTTTATTGGACATGCTTTTATCGTCTTATGGACATCTTTTCTGCCACACACACACACTCTGGTTTGCTGTGTAATTGTGAGCCGTAGGAAGAAGGTATTATGCCTTGGACTGTTTGACTTGATGTCACAAAGGGCGCCTTGTGTTGCGGTACCATGATTGACATATATGATAACACCTGACAAGTTGTTTTGATGTCATTTTCCATCATTGATATCTTTTCTCCTTCCATCGGATGTTAACACCACGAATTTTTATTTTTCATGACCCTCAAGTGCACTTATTGTTTTCGTTTTAATCTTAAATATAGTTTCATTAATAGGCCAGGTAACCTTAAGCGAGAACACTTCATTTAAGGACCACGGTATATTCATTTGAGATTTTGTTACTCTTGACAATACATCTGTAAAGACAAATTGGGACGGTGAAATTTAATGAAAATTAATTATTTTTTTTCAAGAAGTCGAAGTAGATTCTTGAATGAAAACGAAGGAAATTTATAGTGAGTGAATTGTTTAGGCGTATACATCGATTTCTAATGTACCACTCGATCAGTTTTAGGCTGGATTTTCGGTGGAAGAGGAAATTTCTCCCCAAATCCCAGTAATGTATCTTTTTCCTTGAATCTTGGGGTTTTTAAACGGATGGTCAATTTGTTATCAAGATAACTAGGGAACATTTTGGGCAAAATATTCTCCCAACGGATTCCTGGCGATGAAAAATACTACAGTTGCTAAAAGTGAGCTTCAAAAATCAAGGCCCTAGTTGAGCTTTTGTCATTTTATACTTTTATTCTTCCTATAAATGCCTTCTTACTTTCTAAAAATTTCCTGCTTCCGTCGCTTTTTCCGGCAGTAGAGATACGAGATTCTTCCTCATTGTTCGTCAATTTTTTCATTTACATATATAGGAACAGGTTACTATACAGTGCTTTTAGACAGTAACGTTATGATAACTGTCCCCTCCCCCTTTCTTAGTTTTGCACCTCTACCAATGCTGAAATAAGTTCGGTATTCATCACATGATAGTCAGTTCTGTCTCGTCAATGAACCCTGATTAACACTTCCTGTTAGTATCACTCGAAATTTTCATTTTCCCAATGTGTGTCGTGATCCGTAATTTTTTACTTGACAAGAAGCCTGTTATCTTGAAATCAATAAGCTTTTAATTTCCGGTTTTTTTTTTCAATTACTTTCTGAAGTTTGGCTTATGAAATTGATCTAAAATTTGTTTTTTATAACAAGAGCCATCCATGTGTTTGTTGAAGTTTATGCCTCCGTTCGTTAATGAAATACGCGTCGTTTTATCTTTTTGTCATCAGTATTTGTCTCGACAAATTAAAGTGTTTTCCTTAATGTCTGTCGTATGTAATTCATCAGACTTGGCAAATGACAGAAGCTGTTTTCACGCAATATTATGATTCTGATGCTTATTGCTTTATTTTGCAAGAGAATGATTGAGTAATATTTCATTTGAGGCGAAATGTTGAAAATGAAGTTTGCAAGGAAACAAATGACTTATATATGGTCTGAAATCGCATATTAGAGGAAAAATACTAGATCGTGTAATAGGAAACTAGTATTTTAACGACATTTCTTACTTTTATCATCGCCCAAATTCTTGTTTTTCGTCTTTTTCGTTTCCTCAATTTTACTGAAACGTATTTCTTTCTTTTGATACGTAGAGCACCCATTTAAGGCCTGGTAAAATAGCGCTTTGTAACAGCTGTTATCTCTGTCACACTGTTGGGTGCAAGCTAGCTCAGATTCAGCGTGAAACTTTCCGATGCCGCGTGAGCCTTCATTCGGATCTTTCAGGAACGGAAATGTGAAATAAGAAGATAACGCTCCTGTAGATTGCAACGACAGGCATAACTTAGCAGAATAATGGTAATACGGATTGTCTTGGACATGCTTTACGACCTTTATCGCTTTGCAGACATTTTTCTCGATTCACAGACGCTCTCGTTTACGCGGTAATGGGTGGATGTAAGCGATATTGTATTAAAGTTGTAGACGGTCTCAATTTCAAGCCTTTGATGTGATTGGCTCAAAGACAAAAAAGGTGCCTTGGATCCCATTTTGTTCATTACTCAATGAGGGCGACTTTTCCTGTCAGTAAAGGGCCATTGTGTTTATATAATATACAAAATAATACGTGATCGCTTGTAGAAATGGAATATCTCTTAAGATCCTTTAGATGCAGGCTGTAAATATTAGCTCCTAGATGCAGCTCGCCGCTTCTATGGTTTGGGTGTTTGATATCTAACATTCATGGATGACATTAATATCAACGCTTTTTTTTTTTAATTTTTAACCTTGACTTGTCATTGTTACTGAATATAGATTCTGCAGAGAGCTGGAAATGATTGTAACAAATACTTTGGTGATAACTTTGTATTGTTACTTATGATGGATTCTACAACTCATTTCAGGTACTGCTGAGAACAATACCAATACCGCGCACCAAATACGGCATGGGCATGCATTGGGGACTCCTTGGACAGCCTTACTCCAACGCGTGATTTGATCGAGCGCAGAAGCTGGCCCGTGCATGTTCGACCTTTTACCATCGCCGCTGTCGATACCGGGCCAGATCGTCATCATGAGCAATTCCACTGGCAATATCTTAATCCCCTCGTGCAGAGCAGAGTGAAGTGATTGAGCAGGATAGTTTAGCAGAATACTTTGTAGTTCCATTGGAGGAGTTTGCTTCAAAGTATGGTAGCCATATTATTTTGGTGAAATTTCTG